CACCATACACACCATATACACATGCACACACACACACTCACCATTTATACACACACACACACATACACACTCACCATACACATACTCATCACACACACACATACGCACCATACATACATGTACACATATACAGTCACCACACACACACCACGGAAGCCAACAATACATATCATTGAAAACACCTGCTACCCTGAGCCCCCCGCTCCTTGATGCACAACCCATCCTAATCTCTCGGCGTCCAGCTGCCTGGACCCTTCCTGTCCAGTGCAGATGCTGGAGAGAGTGGACAGGCAGATGCTTTCTGCCCTGCTCCTGCCTGGAAATGTGTTGCCAGCCTCCCACTGGCCCCTCACCCGCCCACCCCCCGGCAGGCTGGCTCCACAAGGCTGACTGCAGCTGGCTCCTGGCTGACACCAGAGAGAAGAGGAAGTTCTCGAAGAGGCAGCTTTCGAGGCTGGAGGAGGCACAAACTTGCCAAATTCCCCAGTTAATCAGGCTTTCCAGCACTCCCTGTATGTCTGTGCGGTGTGCACCAGGGAATGCTGGCTAGCTGACTTTCCTGGCAGCGCTATCATGGTCCTCTGTGGAAGCAAGCCCTTTGCAAAAGGAAAAGAGAAACTGCAATACTGAGGAAAGAGAAGGCTATGGAGAGTCATTCTACTTCAGCAGGAAGACATGGCCCTCTCAAACACAGGAGGATGCCACCTTCCTGAGGAGTCAGTGGCTTCCCAGGATCCTTCCTGCTCCCAACTCTGTCATTTCTTTGTCAGGGGGCTGAACTGGCTGGGCACCTCAGCTGGGTGGCTCCTGGCTTTGTGCTGTCCTGTCTGGAAGCAGTGCTGGTGTTGATGGGGTCCTGGCAGGACAGTTCTCCCGATTTCGATTTCCTTTTATCTGAGGGAGAGTCTGAACCCCACGGGAAAGGGAGCTAGTCTTGTTGGGAGGGGGTAGAACGATTGTTTCCAAGGAACCACTGTGCTGCCAGTGGTAAGACAGAATAGTGGTAATGCTTATCCATTCTTGGCTACCCGTGTAGGTTGAGAAACCATTAAGAAACATTAAACGTCACCTCTAAGGAGAAAGCACATGCTGACAGATGCCAAGTGTAGCCACTGTGGGTTCTCTTGTATGAAAAAACCAGGTCCATCTCTCCTGCCCAAGTTCACAGGGCAACAGGGTACCACTTTTAAGGTAGTATCTCTGCCATCATGAACTAGTAAGAACTTTAAGGAGAAGCCTATAAGCATAGATGCTGGGCTCAGTTTTGGGGAGGCTGCCTGAAGATGTGGAAGTCAGCATGGGGCCCTCCAAGATTCTATGGGAGGAGAAAGCCAGGTGAGGCCCCTCTGGAAATCATGAGAAGGTTGGGTCCTAAGGATACAGAGCAGGACAGGGACAGTCTCAGCTTCCATAGCACCTCATCCCAGGCCAACCTGGGAGAAGCCTGGCATTCACAAATAACAAGGAGCTCCGGTCTGGCCCTGTGCAAGGATTAAACACGTTAGTGATTAACCAAGAGTCACCAGTGATGCATTTGCGTCACATTGAGGAAATAAAGAAAAGCACTTCCCCTGGAGCCATTTAACTGAGTGCAAGTCCAAATCAGAGTTCTTCACTTCATGATCCCTGCGTCTTCTGTCTCCATCTGTCTGTGTGTGAGTCTGATTCTGTGCCTGCCTTCAGGATGTCTTATAAGTCTGTCCTTATGTCTGTGTGTCTGTCACTAATAAAGGACTTTGCTGTGTATTTACTGAGCAGCATAAAAAGCATCATATATTGAGGGACTAAGACACTATTTTACAGAAATCTTTAACAGAGTTTTACAAGGGACCAAGTGACTGGCTCTGATCAGTTCCAACTGATTCCAACTGACCCAAACAACAAATAGTAGTACAAACATCTTTGTTTACTAACAAATATCTATAAATGGATATTCATTTTAGAAGGTTGATTTAGAAGGTATATGCTGTTTTCAGCAAATGATATGTGTCTAGTTCTAGGTAGAGGACATGGAAAAACACACAATTTAAGATTATGTAGCTGTCCTGTCACTAGTCTGATGGGTCAGGCCCTTGTTCAGCCAGTGTTCACCTGAGCTGCAGAGAAAAGCCCGAAAACACAACCAGCCCAAACTGTGTCAAGGCAGGGCACAGTCTCTCCTGGAAGCCTTCCTGCTCCTCTGCAGGCTGTCCCGATTCTCTGAGATTACACTTACCCAAAATGGATGGAATTAGCCAGACACTTGTTGTGTAGCAGCTTATTCCTCCTTTTAGGGTAAGACTCCATCTCAGCCTTAGCCTGTAGCCATGACTACTGAAGCAGCACAGCACAGTGGTTGCCAAGTCAGGGTGAAGTAATGCAGCTATGGACACACGGTAGGGAGGGTCAAGAGATCTTCCTCAGCTACACGTGGCTTTGGGAGATGGAGCAGACATGAGTTGAGAGAGTAACTGAGAGCAGGTCTTCATGACGAAGCTTCTGTGAGGATGCCATGGGGCTGGAGTTTGAGGTGCTGCTGCTGTCTAGAGGGTCGCCCACACTCCTGTGACTGACTCCTCACTTGTGTTCTATAAGCAAGACTGATGAATTCCTGGGTCTCACAAGTTAGACACTGGTGAAATTGTACTTTTGTCTGTAGCAGCTCTCCTGGATCGGCAGGCTGGCTCCTGGTCTGAGACTCGGACACTCTGACTACATTTTCTTCATTTGCATACAGTTTGCATATGCTAGACTGGAAACCTTCATTTTTATGTTCTGTGTCACAGTCGTGTACTGGGGTCTTGGCCTGAGTCTTTGCCCTACAAATCTAAGTTTCCTGCCTCTGCCCACATCCTTTCCCCAGTCCATTCTCTTTGTGCCCCTGCCTGACCTCAGGACTTAGAAGTGTTTTCAGTGTGTGACTTCAGGGTTGCTTTGAGGGAGAAATATGTTGGTCCACAGCCCCTCAGCCTCCTTCTTTATTGTTGTATATTCTTTTACTTGCTGTGGTTTGCAGTTAGCAAAAGTGAAAATAAACAAACAAATAAACAAAAACCCAAAAAACAAACAAAACCCAAACCCTTACTTTCCATTTCAGTCACATAAAGGCATCTGCATGGGATTGAGAAATGAGACAAACTTTAAAATAAATTTGTGTATGTATATATGTGTGTGTGTGTGTGTTTGTGTGTGCATGTCTGTGTGTCTATGTTGTGTAGGTTGAAGAACAAACTTGGGTGTCCCTCCTTAGGTGCCCTCTACTTCTTGAATAGGGTCTCTCACTGGCCTGCAACTTTTGCCCAGAGCCCTCCCAGCTAACTTTTGCCCTGCCCTCCGGGAGCTCTCTTGTCTCTGCCTCCCATCCCACTGTGGCTGAAATAGCAGGTGTGCCACTCTGCCTGGCTGTGTATGTAGGTTTCGGGTATTTGAACTCAGGTCCTCCTGCTTGCATAACTGACCCACCTCTCCCGTCCCACAAAACAGTGACTTGTTCTTTTCATTTTTTGTTAAATATGGACCATACCACTGAAAGTGAGAACCTAGAGACTTTAAGGCAGCCCTTTGTGCCTCAATTTTCCTTATTTTCCTTCCAGCACGGCAGTCAAGCACACATGTGCATAGAGACTTTAAAGATAAAACTTGATCTGGAAACCTGTAACAGTCTGCATGAGACCTGTAAGTGGCAGTCTGTCCACAAAGCCCAACATAGCCATCTAGTGACAGGCATGTGAAACCACACTTGCAAAGGTACCCAGAAATGAGGATGGCAAAATGGGGAGTGTGGCTTCCAAAACAAAACCAAAGGGCAAGTGTCTCCCTGGTGATTAGAAAGCAGCAACCTGGGTGTTTGTCCACTCACTGCTTCCTCTCCTCCTAATGAAGGTTTGCTTATATTTTGTGACATGCTCTCATGTATAGCTCAGTTAGCCTGGAACTCAAAATCCTCCTGTCCCAGCACCCCCCCCCTCCACTCCACCCCTCCACACCCTAATCCCCACCACAAACCACCCTGAGTACAGGAACATACCACTGTACCAGCTCAAATGGTGTCTAAATGCTTCAGAAAGTTTTTCCATTTCCTCTTCCTGTGGGTGCTGTTAATAAGAGTGTACAAGTCATGGAAGAGCCTATAGTGTGTGTCTCTCCTGTCACATATGGCATATGGATGTGTGTGCATGTGGGCAGCTTTTCTTGCCTGTCTGTGTGGCCAGGGCTCAATCTTTCTCTATTGCTCTCCACATTTCTTTTTGAGACAGAGTCTCTTACCAAACTTGGAGTTTGCCCTTCCAGCTAAACAGGCTGTCCAGGGAGCCCAGGAATCCACTGTCTCTATCCCCAACTTCCTCAGCCCTGGGATCAGAGATGGGTAATTGAAGTTATGTTATGTAAATATGTTTTTGTTTTAATCCCAAGTGGGAGAAAAATGGGGCTGCTTTTAGTTTGTCCATACCTGATAATTGCCTCATGCAGCTCAGAGAGGGGCATGGTCTTTGCCAGCTGGTAACAGCCTCTTGAGGCTGGGAGAGGAGCATGGTCTTTGGCAGCTACCTTAATGGAATCCTGAGGACTCAGAGAGGGAATAAATACTAGCACCTAGGGAGAGCAGGGTTAGGCTTTGAGGATGCTTCACAGAGATGGTAGGAGGAGGAAGGCTGCTTGTTCAGTCCGTTTCTGTGTTTGTCTGCTGTTACTGGTTTGCTGGGTATCCTGATGGCTGAGATTGGACTCGCCCCAAAGAACGTGACCCTAACTAGCCAGAATTAGCCAAAAAGAACTCTGCCCCCTCTCCCTACCAACCTTCTTTCTCTCTTACCTAGTTTTGGGGGAAGGTATTAGGAGAGATAAGGGGCAGAGAGGGGAGAAGGAGATGTAAGAAACCCCACTAAGATTGTCACAATCAAGACACCAACAGAAATGCTTGTTTTTCACATGGTGCTAGGATCTGAACTCAGTCCACATGTTTTCATAGGAAGTATTTCACCCACTGAGCCATCTCTGTTATTGTGCAGGTGATTCAACTGGCCTGCCTTCAGAGGCCTTCAAAGTCCTGGCAATGTCTTACGTCATCATCTGGTGCCACCAGCAGCAAGTGTGTGTGTGTGTGTGTGTGTAATATAAGGACCCACATGCCACTCCAGCTCTCTGGGTCTTTCTCTTGGTCTGTCTCTGTCTCTCAGTCTCTCTCTGTTCCAGCTTCTCTCCCCCCCCCATGGCCCACTCTCTGTCTCCATCCCTGCAACAGGACCCCTTCAACTTCCCACAAAAGTTAACTTCCCTCCTTATACTAGATTTGTTGTGTGGCATGTAATTCCTTACACTATTACGACAATCTCCCTAGCCCCTGAATAGCCATCTTTAAAAATTAAAGCACAGTCCTCAGATGTTTAGCTTACTGAATGTTTCAGCTGCTTCCAAAAGGGACCTCCTCTAGAGGCTGGCCCACTAGGGCATATCCTTACCACGCGAAGGTTGTGCACCAGGTCCTGAGCCAGCTCAGCATGCAGAATTCAGGAAGGCTTCAGAGGTGGCTGGGTGAGCTGAGAGCCACGCCAGGGTCTCCCCTCGCATTCCAGCATGTTCATTGAGCTTGGGCCTTCCCTCCACTTACTTCATCTTTGGTATTTCCCAGAGCCCCATATGTCCTGTGACCTGCAAGAACCTCAGAGCTGAGACCCAAGAGCCATGAGATTAAAAAAACAGTTCTGAACCCAACAAGCAGGAAGTGTTATTTATTCAGACTGAATCAGACATCTCACCCCCTTTCAGTGGTATACATCTTAGCAGGATGGACAAGTACAAAAATAATATTATTCTAGAAAACTCCAGGGTGGAGGGCCTGGTATGTATATTCTAATCGTATGTTGATTTGAAATTAGTTCAGTGTCCCAGAAATGGAGGAAGATTCCCAAAGAAAACATTAACCAGTTAGAAGCATCTTCAGAAATACAATTTACACTCAAGAACCATGTATGAAAATATGAATAAATGAGAGCTACACAAAATACATTTTACAAAGTACTACTTTCTGCCTTTTCCAGAATTCGGTAGAAGGAGGCTCGGATCACTTATTTATTTATTTATTTATTTATTTATTTATTTATTTATTTGCAAAGTCTTACCATGTAATTTGGGTGGCGTGAACCTCACTATCTACACCAGGCATCCTGGATACCTACCTGCCTCTGCCTCCTGTGTTGGGATTAAAGGCAAGTGCCACCATACCTGGAGCATGGCTTATAGTTCTCCCACCAGAACCCAAACCTTGCATGCCAGAGAAGCAGGGGATGTAGTGGCCCTTTCCATGCCCAGAGAGCATCTTAAACCTTAAGGATACTCAACTATGCAGTTGAATGGAGGCAAAAGGAAACACAGCCTTTTTACACTCTAAAACTTCAGTTTTCACTAGCATGTAAGAACCCCACATACTCTGTGAGTTTGAACTGAGTCCCTCTCTGGTGAGACTGTGTGATACTGCAGCAAAGGGGGAAAGGGTGGGGAAGCTATGTCTGTCTGTCTTCATCTCAGAAGGAAATTACTAAGTTCTCTCCTTACATGGCATTCTTCATTCAGCAGTACTCACCCTGGCAATGTGGGACTCTGTGAGTGTTTTCTTTCCCAGGTAGACAGGGCACAGATTCGAGGATGACAGTAGCAGGAAGGAAGCTCTGCCCACCCAAACTCTTCTTTCAGGATATGTCTCTGATGGAAGCCATCCCTGGAGGAATATGGTCATGGCTTTCAGAGTGGGTGGGCGGTCCAACAAGGCTGATTATCACGAGACTGCCCAGCTTCAGTTGTCAGGGTCCCTTTCTGAGTAGACAGTCCCCAAAAGGAATTTGGCCACGTCAGTGTGGCTGGAGTAACTCTCCCTTGCCCAGTGAATTGCCCAGCACACAGCTTTGACCCCTCCGCTTCAGGCCTGGCTCTGCTCCTACCTCAGGCACTCTGCTCTTACTAGAGTAGCCATCCTCTAAACAAAATAAACTGCCCTATGCTGACTGTCTGCTCGTGGCCGATGATCAGCTTGAGGGGTTGCCTTTGGAAATTCCTGACACATAGGGCGCTCTGAAAACTGGAGTGAAGTGGGTTGCCCACCCTGTCTGGGGGGGTGTACCTCTCTCCTGACTCCTTCAGCCCTTGTCCTCCTCTAAAAGTCTAGACTTTATCAGCTCCCAGGAATCTCTGACTTTGCTGATGAATTGACCAATCTGTGTTTGGCTCAGGGAACATGCAGGCTACTGCCCTCTCACATATTCTCTGTCAAGGTTGACTTCAATGTCTGGACATTCCTAAGACTGGGGGTGGGGTGGGGGATAAAGTTCTGTAAGGTAAAATCAACACAGTGGGGAAATTTGAAGTTAAAAGAAAGCTAATGCCCAGATAGAAGAACATTTTCCTGAAGTGTTAATCCTGTTTATTCTGTGAGCTTATTCTAATCACATTAGGACTCTCTTAAATGCCCCCTCCCAAAAAAAACCTCAGCTTTTCTCTCTAATTGATAAATTGCCACAAACTCAGTTCTGTAATTCTTAAAACTTACTGGAGAGGAACATAATCACATATGTGGGCTTTTTTTCTGGCAGTAAAATATACAGTTTTGTATTGTGTGCTATTCCGTTGTTTTGCCTTAGAAAATAGTGATGATTTTTTCCCCCTGTGGGTGTGCCAATAATCAATTCTAGTAACTTCATGCAAAAGAAAACATGCTGGGATGCCATCCAGCTATTTGGTTTCTACTAATAAAGATAAATGCTGTGAAACTCAATTATCCTTCCCTGCAAGACAGACTTCTGGGTAGCTGTCTATTCCCAGGGAGGAAGCTGGAATTCAAATCCCAACCAGACAAGAAAATGGTAAGAGCAGTTTAACAAATCCCCATTCTTAATTAAATCATCAAGTAGTCCCTCCCTACCTCTTAAATGAGAGGAGAGAATCTGCTTTAGAAAACCTCTTCCGCAAGCTGTGAAGTGCTTACTGTTGCTTTCTGGGAATTATTTTACTCTCAGTTTTCTGACCCAACTGTATCTCTAACACAAACCTCCTGGTTTCAGGACCAGTCAGATAAATTCTTCCCAGAATACCAGAAGTGGGATGTGCTGGAAAGAGCACACCCATGGCCGTGTGCAGCACGTTGGTCTCTAACTCCAGGCACTTGTTTCTGGCTCAAAAGAAAATGCAAGGTCCACACCAGGAGACTGGAGACAGATCGCCAGCAGCTCTCACTGTGGGGACACGGATCCTTTTTATTTCTTGCTATTGTTTAAAAACATATATCTTTAGTTACCTGAAGACAGAATTTAACTTCAGACTTTTGGGTTGGGTTGGTTTCTCAAGAGAGGGTTTCTTTGCATAGCACTGGCTGTCCTGGAACTCACTCTAGCTGGCCTAGAACTCACAGAGACCTGCCTGCAGGGGTAGCTCCTCCTGCGTATTGGGCCTAATGGTGTGCGGCACCACTACCCAGGTAACTCCAGGCTTCTAAACATCTCCTCAGGAAGAAAACATCAGCTTATTTCAAATAATTGTTTCAGTTGAAGTGAAGCCAGGTTTCTCCTCAGAGCTGGCAGGTTTATGACAAGCCAACATGAAGCCGCACCGTGCAGGTGGGAGGTGCTCCCATCTTCCAGTGTTTTCCTCATTCTATTCAAGGCAAAACTGAGACCCTCAAAAGGGTGCTACTTCAATTTCTGTTCAAAGCAAACCTTCCTGAAAGTTTGCCAAGTGAAGCCTCAATTTGCAGAACTCGGGAGGTGGGTGTCACCACAGTTTTGACTAAAAGGCAGCATGTGCCAGGAAAATGTCCCAAATACAACTGTCTATTTCGTTCTGCTTGCTAAGCTATGCTTTTGTAATGTAAGTGTTACCACCAAAATGTCACATGCAGTTGCATCTGCAAAGGTAGGGACATTTGATACAAAATCCGTGTGCCTGAACACCCTGCTTGTCTGTACCCTGTACTGTCACACAGGCACCCACTGACTCAGTGTGCCAGAAACCTTTTGCTCTTCAGAAGCCTAACCTAATACAAAGATTTGGATAGTGTGAGTGTGAGGACCGAGCCGTCCTGTTTCAGGGATTCGTAGTCCCCACAGCACAGGGAAGGGTGGCAGAGTATCCGAAGAACTTGGTTCACTTCCATCAAACCTGCCTAGAGACAGGAATCAACAGAAAAATCAACAGGTGAACAGCATCACACTTCTAGAGATTTCTAAGCCTTAATGCATTTTGGGATTATTTGTTCTCAACCAGAACAGGCTGGACACGTTGGTGAGCATGTGAGAGCACAATGCTGTTCCTGCTTCTGTTTGTTTTTCCTTCTGCAACAGCTCAAGTCCTCTCACACCAGAATCTCCCAGAAGGTTCCTCTGGCTGCTGGGGAGGCTTCCCGTTCACTGCAACATGCCTGATGGCTCCTGCATGTCCTTGGCACGGCCATGCATTTCTCAATGTGGAGGTGACCAAGTGTGCAGACCAGATGGCTGAGACGTCTGAAGTCTGTTGTCAACACCACAAACACTCCTGATGGGGTGGGGGCTCCCTGGCACTCTAGGTGGAGTGTTTTATATCCAACCCATCCCTGTAGCAGCACAAAATGAACACTGAACTTGGCACAGAAATGTGTGCATTTGTGTGTGTGTGTGTGTGTGTGTGTGTGTGTGTGTGAAAAATGGCTTTGCATGTCAATTATGTCCCATCATAAACAAATGTTCACATGGAGTTACAGGCTTCTACCTCACTTTGGCAAAGGCCTCAAATGGCAGTAGATATACTGCTGGTCCCCCATTGCTAAGGCTTTCCTTCCTGTCCCCATAAGGGAGAACCACAGAGGTCATCTGCACGCCAAGTGCCTTCAGGTTTCTTTGCATTGGTACACTTGAGCCCCAGGCGTCTTATGAAGGAAAATGCATGGCTTCAAAGGACTCAGAAAAATGGAAATGATGCCAAGTCACGAGTCTTTCTTCCCTGACAGCTGGTCAGAAGCATGGGCAGCTGGCCATGTCTCCATTCCCAGATCAGTAATTACCAACTTAGTTCCAGAGAAGATTTGGAGAAAAGAAACAATTACGGCAGCAGAGAGAGAGAGAGACTGAGTTTGTTTTCCTCATTAAAACATGATTAATTAACTTGAAATCTGAGTAAGCGTATGTGAAGAAGACCAGCGTGGTGACAAAATGTCGTATGACTGCAGCTCAGCACCTGTCTGCCTCCCCTGACAGCTAGGGCACTAGTGGAATCAGGTGCCTGCACCGACACATCCTGGCCAAGTGACACATGAAGCACCTCGGCCTGTGAGCAGAGTCCGCATGTCATTAGCACTCCATTCCACTCTACCTTCCCCTGTCAGGGGGTTGTGTGAGGTGTGATCAGAGTGTAGCTTGTCATGTCTGGGGGGCCCTGAGACCTACTCAAGGTCCTGCAATGCAGTCAGGTGTAGAAGGCTGGTGACTCTCATCAGGCCCAAGGCTACTTCTCCTCCTCAGATATTAAAAGCCTTTTCATCTGTTCTAGACTAGGCAGTAGCCTAGCACCAAATACCATTAATACGGTCAATACCAAAAGTTTCCTTTAGGCAAGAGAGCTCTAGCAACTGAACTGATTTTCCTGAGGTTGAAGAGAAGACAGTCACTAACCATGACTTGCCCTCTTCTGTTGTTTGTTTGGGCTGATTTTTGGTTTTGGTGGTACACTGGGCAGTTTGGTATAACCAGTCCCATATCCTGAAGCCCAATGCACTGTTTTGGTTCACAACAAGGTGCTTTTATTATTGTTTCCCTCCGAAGTAGAAAAGATCTGAAAACCTGGAAATCAAGAGTAATGGAGTTACAGTGAGTCTGGAAGGCATTCAGATCACAGCTGAGACTCCAGACCGATGGACAGAGAAGCCAACCAGAGATGTGCTCCTGGGAAGAGCTGGGTTCAAGGCAGCTGGAGTTCAGACGAGGCTCTTCATTTCCAGCGATGTCTGACCAGTGAGGACTCATCATTAACAACCTCAGGGTCACGGGGGCCACGTCGGCAGTGCAGCGGGAGCAGCAGCAGGAGGATAAGAACCAGGAGGATGGCTCCGCACACACTCATCAGGGCATAGGACACCATCCACAAGATGGGCTCATTCAGAGCGTGTGCTGGAACACAATTGCTGGCTATGTCTTCCGTGGAGAAGGGCCCAGAGATCTCAGACACTGTGGTACCAGCAATCTCTGAGGAAACAGAAGGGGAAAGGTCACAGCTGTGCCCCACTGGCAGTGGGCACAGAGCTCACGGCTGGTGACAGTTGGGCCCCAATGGCTCAGATACTGAGTGCACTTAGGAACAACAGGTCAGGAGCAGCAGCGTGTCCTCATGGTTCAGGCCAATCAGTACATTCTACTGAACCTGCAGGATGGAGGGCTGTGCAGAAGCAAACCCTGCTGGTGCTCTCTAGGAATGCTAACACCCTGTGGGTGACAGCACACTGCCTGGAGGCACCACCTGGGCTGTGATGTTCCTCAGGACTGAAGATGAAGGAGGAGTGGAAAGAGGGGCAGTGTGCCATTCAGAAAGCTCAGCGGAAGCTGCCTGGGAAGGGTGGGGGAAGGGTCTCTTGGCAAAGCTAATTTGACCCCATGTAATACTTAGTGAGTCCAACCTAGTCTTCTTAATACTTTGTTTGTTTGGTTTTCTTGCAATAGGGTCTCACTACAAAGCCCAGGCTGGCTTAGAACTTTCTATGCAGCCGAGGCTACCCTGCTTCCGCCTCTAGAGTTCTGGGATTATAGCGGAACTACCACACCTAGCCCAACCACTATTAGTGGTTCCAAGACCTTCCCAGACACTCCCCCTCCTAAGTTGAATCTGAAGAACCATGAACCAAAAGCGATCAATTAACAAACATGGCTGGTGTCATAGGTAATGACACAGAAACATAGAATGCTATCGTGGCTTCTGCTAAAGACCTTGGTGTTGGAACAAGGTCCATGAGTGAAGCTGTGTGAGGAGATCTCTGAGACCTTGTGAGAAAACTCCAAGTATACAAGACAAGAGTCTTGTAACCTCTGGTCCTCCACAACATGGTTGTTCTTGGAATGTGTTTTGTGTCCTCCCAAGTGTAAATAGGAGTGAGTTAACTTCAGATTATCCATCATCTACTGTTATTATTTAGAAATATGCATGACTATATACAGCCTGAACTCATGTGACTGTGCCCTTGTGACCTACACAACTTGAACTCAAGGGAACTTTGCTCACAGGACCTTGCTTAACCCTCGGAAGACCCTCAGAATAGAAATTATCTGGCGCCCTGAATAGAGCTGGCTCTTGCACAAGACTTTAGTCCTCCTCATTTTTAGGTTCCACTCTCCCTGGCTCATGCTGCCAAATAGAGCAGCAACCCCGTGGCAGAAGCAGGTGTATGGGTGGGCCAGGGCACTGGGCTTTCCTCTCCTTCCAGGACTACAGTATCCTAAGATTTACTTGGGTACAGAGGACAGTGGACTAGAAAGGCCTGACTACTCTCTTAGTCCCAGAATATACACCACAAAACATTTCCTGTTTCCTGACTCAAGGCCAAGGACCTCCAGTCTTCCCAAATATGATCTTTAGTCAAAATGACAGTAGGATAATGGTCTTTAAAGACTGCCTTTGAAGGAGGAAGAAATGACTTTTTTTTTTTCTAAAGGCCATACCCTTTCTGGCTTGTGTAGACTCCACAATGACAGCTTTTTTTAAATCTTTTTTTTATATTTTATTTTTTATTAATTACAGTTTATTCACTTTGTATCCCACTTGGATACTACGCTGCCATGGACTACATCTGTGTAGGGGTTCTAGGTTATCTCCATGCATGTTCTTTGGTTGGAATATGAGTCCCTGAGGAGACCCCTGTGTTCAAATTTTCTGGTTCTGCTGCTCTCCTTGTGGGGTTCCTGTCCTCTCCAGATCTTACTCTTTCCCACTTCTTACTTAAGATTCCATGCACTTTGCCCATCAGTTGGCCTTAAGTCTCAGTGTCTGCTTTGATAGTCTGTAGGGCAGAGCCTTTCAGAGGCCCTCTGTGGCAGGTTCTTAGGTTGTTTCCTGTTTTCTTCTTCTTCTGATGTCTATCCTCTTTGCCTTTCGGAATGCGGATTGAGTGTTTTAGTCAGGGTCTGCTCTCTTGATTAGTTTCTTTAGATGTTCAGGGTTTTAGTAGGTTTAGCCTATGTTATATGTCTATATGAGTGAGTATATATCGTGTGTGTCTTTCTGCTTCTGGGACAGCTTACTCAGGATGATCCTTTCCAAGTCCCACCATTTACCTGCAAATTTCATGATTTCCTTCTTTTTCATTGCAGAGTAATACTCCATTGTGTAGATGTACCACAATTTCTGCATCCACTCTTCAGTTGAGGGGCATCTGGACTGTTTCCAACTTCTGGCTATTACAAATAAAGCTGCTACAAACATGGTTGTTTTTATTGTGTACTTGAGCCCCTTTTGGATATATGCCTAGGAGTGGTATGGCTGGATCTTGAGGAAGTGCTATTCCTAGTTGTCTGAGAAAGTGCCAGATTGATTTCCAGAGTGCTTGTACAAGTTTACATTCCCACCAGCAGTGGAGGAGGGTTCCCCTTTCTCCACAGCCTCTCCAGCATGTGTTGTCACTCGAGTTTTTTATCTTGGCCATTCTGATGGGTGTAAGGTGAAATCTCAGGGTGGTTTTGATTTGCATTTCCCGAATGGCTAATGAGGTCGAACATTTCTTTAAGTGCTTCTCTGCCATTTGATATTCCTCTACTGAGAATTCTCTGTTTAGCTCTGTTCCCCATTTTTTAATGGTTTGCTGTTTTTCAGCTTCTTTAGTTCTATATATATACTGGATATTAGCCCTCTGTCAGATAAATGGTTGGTGAAGATTCTTTCCCAGTCTGTAGGCAGTTGTTTTGTTTTGATGATGGTGTCCTTTGCTTTACAGACGCTTTTCAGTTTCATGAGGTCCCATTTATTGATTGTTGCTCTTAGAGCCTGTGCTGTTGGTGTTCTCTTCAGGAAGTTGTCTCCTGTGTCAATGAGTTCAAGGGTATTCCCCACTTTTTCTTCTAACCGATTTAGTGTGTCCAGTTTTATGTTGAGGTCTTTGATCCACTTGTACTTCAGCTTTGTGCATGGTGATAAGTATGGATCTATTTTCATTTTTCTACATGTAGACATCCAGTTAGACCAGCACCATTTGTTGAAGATGCTATCTTTTTTCCATTGTATGGTTTTGGCATCTTTGTCAAAGATCAGGTATCCATAGATGTGTGGGTTTATTTCTGGGTCCTCTGTTCGGTTCCATTGATCCACTATTCTGTTTCTATGCCAGTACCATGCAGTTTTTATAACTGTTGCTCTATAGTACAGCTTAAGATCAGGGATGGAGATACCTCCAGAAGATCTTTTATTGTAGAGAATTGTTTTAGCAATTCTCGGTTTCTTGTTATTCCATATGAAGGTGAGAATTTTTCTTTCCAGGTCTGTAAAGAATTGCGTTGGTAATTTGATGGAAATTGCATTTTGAATCTGTAGATTGCTTTTGTTAAGATGGCCATTTTTACTATGTTAATCCTGCCCAGCCATGAGCATGGGAGATCTTTCCATCTTCTGATATCTTCTATTTCTTTCTTCAGAGACTTGAAATTTTTTTCATACAAGTCTTTGACTTCCTTGGTTAGGGTTACTCCAAGGTACTTTATGTCTTTTGTGGCTATTGTGAAGGGTGTTGTTTCCCTAATTTCTTTCTCAGCCCTTTTGTCTTTTGTATACAGGAGGGCTACTGATTTTTTTGAGTTAATTTTGTATCCGGCCACTTTGCTGATGGTGTTTATTAGCTGTAGGAGTTCCCTGGTAGAGTTTTTGGGGTCACTCATATATACTATCATATCATCTGCAAATAGTGATAATTTGACTTCTTCTTTTCCCATCTGTATCCCCTTGATCTCCTTCGACTGTCTTATTGCTCTAGCAAGGACTTCCAGCACTATGTTGAAGAGATATGGAGACAGTGGGCAGCCTTGTCTTGTCCCTGATTTCAGAGGGATTGTTTTAAGTTTCTCTCCATTCAGTTTGATGTTGGCTATAGGCTTGCTGTATATCGCCTTTACTATGTTTAGATATGTGCCTTGTATCCCTGATCTCTCCAGTACTTTAAACATGAATGGATGTTGGATTTTGTCAAATGCTTTTTCAGCATCTAGAGAGATTATCATGTGTTTTTTTTCTTTCAGTTTGTTAATATGGTGGATCACATTGATGGATCCACATTTCCGTATATTGAACCACCCCTGCATACCTGGGATGAAGCCTCCATGGTCATAGTGGATGATATCTTTGATGTGTTCTTGTATTCGGTTTGCAAGTATTTTGTTGAGTATTTTTGCATCAATGTTCATAAGGGAGATTGGCCTGAAATTCTCTTTCTTTGTTGAGTCTTTGTGAGGCTTAGGTACCAAGGTGACTGTGGCTTCATAGAATGAGTTTGGTAGTGTTCCTTCTGTTTCTATTTTGTGGAATAGTTTGAAGAGAATTGGTGTTAGCTCTTCTTTGAAGGTCTGGTAGAATTCTGCGCTGAAGCCATCTGGTCCTGGGCTTTTTTTGGATGGGAGACTTTTGATGACTGCTTCTATTTCCTTGGGGGATATAGGACTATTTAATTGATTTACCTGCTCCTGATTCAGCTTTGGTAAGTCAAATCGATCAAGAAAATTGTCCATTTCATTTAGATTTTCAAATTTTGTGGCATATAGACTTTTGAAGTAAGTCCTAATGATTGTTTGGATTTCCTCAGTGTCTGTGGTTATATTCCCCTTTTCATTTCTAATTTTGTTGATTTGGATGGTGTCTCTCTGCCTTTTAGTTAGGTTGGCTAAGGGTTTGTCTATCTTGTTGATTTTCTCAAAGAACCAGCTCCTGGTTTCATTGATTCTTTGAATTGTTTTATTTGTTTCTAATTGATTGATTTCAGCCCTGAGATTGATTATTTCCAGCTGTCTACTCGTTTTTGGTGTGTCTGCTTCTTCTTTTTTTAGGGTTTTTAAGTGAGCCATTAAATTGCTTGAATGCACTGTCTCGAATTTCTTCTTGAAGGCACTTAGTGCTATGAACTTTCCTCTTAGCACTGCCTTCATTGTGTCCCACAAGTTTGGGTATGTTGTGTCTTCATTTTCATTGAGTTCTAGGAAGACTTTAATTTCTTTCTTTATTT